CCGGCCCCAGCGCGCACGCGCCCGCCCGTTACCTGCGGTCGCGTTCGCGCTCCTCCTCCACCTGGCCGATCTCTCCCGGGGGCCGCCCCTCAGCCCGCCCCCTCGGCTCGGCGCCGCGCACCCTGCTGGCTACTCGGACACAGCCCGGGGAGGAGGGGCGTGGGGGGCGATTACCATATATTAGCATACCAGCGCGCGTCACGTGCCCGTTCCAGCCAATGGTCACTCTGGAAGGCGGGGATTGGGGCGAACACGCCTAGGTGCTGCTCCGGGCCTGAACCGGTGGTCATGGCAACGGCTGGGAGGGCGGGGGAGCGGGGAGGCACCGGAGCCCAGTGGCCCCGCGGGAGCATCTCCACTACCTGAATTCTGTGTGGAGACACCGTGCACTTTTCCCACCCTGCGGAGGGAGAGGGGCTGAATTTGGCTCCTCTCAGAAGGATTCAGACTCAGCAAATAGTTACCGAGCGCTTACCACGTGCCTAATACTTTTCTGCTGGACCTGATTCTCGGGGTAACCTTGAGATGTCAGTACTGTTAACCCCACTTAATAGAAGGGAAAGTGGAGGCTCAGAGAGGCTAGGTCACTCACCCAAAGTCACACAGCCACACCAAATGTTAAAAGTGGAGGTCTGAGCCCATTTCTGACTTCAGGCCAGGACTCTCTTGAGTTGTTTTCTCCAGCAGGGGTCTCCCAGCACCTCCTCACAATTTCAGGTATACTAAACGTCTGGAAGATACTCATACAACCCTTGTACAGTGCTTTAGTGTTTCTTTACAAAGACCTTTGAGGTTAGTAGGCAGAGCAGTTATGTCCCTATTGCAGATGAGGAGAAATGAGGCTTAGAAAGGTAACATGATCTGTCTCAGGTCAAATAGCTATTAAGAGCTAGTACTTAATTTCTATGATTTATACTCAAACTCACTACTTTATAAACTTTTAAATTCAATCTTCTCAATGCAGTGGTGTTGCTATGACCATTTTACAGATTAAGAAACTGAGGCTTTAGGAAGCTAAGCAAATTACCCAAGGCTACACAGCTAGTTAATAGCAGATTTAGGTTCAAAGCTAGGTTTATCTGGCTCCAAACTAGTCTCATGAAATCTTGTTGCACCAGGTTCATTTCATTTAGGCTTGGACTTGGACTTGCAGAACAGAACTTTCCCACCTCTCCTCTTAAAATGTGACTACGTTCTCTCTTGCGCCAGCAAAATATCAAGTGACAAATGATATGCGTTAAGGTCACAGGCTAAATATTAAAAGAGAACAGAGTCACCCCTGCAAGGTAGGAAGTACACTGTATAATTCCCTGCCTCTTGATTTTTACCCCTAGAGATTTGATAGTTTGCCTAAAGGCAGAGTAGTTTAAAAATATTAGCATCTGCATTTGGACTTTCCTTCTGCTCCTCCCTTTAGGTTAGCTCAGTGGCTTTCTGATTACTGGACAAGGCCATTTGCCTCAAATCAAATATGCTAAACTTTATAGGCATTTTAAGGGATTATTAAAGGTAACTTTGAATATATGTACATTTCATCTTATTGGGCTGATTTAAAACCCAATTTCCTCCTAAGCTGTGACTGTTTGGTGTTCAAAAGCACAACCATGGAGGCAGACTTATGTGGAATAAAATCCTGACTTGGCTACTCACTAATGTGTGACCTTGGCTAAGTTACTTAACCCCTCTGTGCCTCAATTTCCTCATTTGTAAAATAGGACAGGAATGGTGTGAGAATTAAATGGGTTAACATATAAAAAGCATTTAGCACAAGTAAATGGCTCACAGTAAAACTTCCATCATTGTTAGCTGTTATTGCCCCAGGAGCTTTCATAGGAACTGACAACCCCCATGTACAGAATCTCTCCAGGTTTCCTGGCTAGCTTTGAAATGTTGAAGCTGGCCGCCCCCCCCCCCCCATCCTCGTAGCATATTAAACAGTCTGTTGTGCTGGTGAAGGCTTGTTATCTCTCCAATGACATTCCCTCTTCTTAGGATCATAAATAATTCCTGGACTCAAAGGAGCTGGTTTCTCCTGCACATCTCCTAGCACCAAATTACCAGAGTGGCTCCTTGCAGAAGGGGATCTTGACAAACAGCGGAGCCATAAGTCAGGCTCCTTGAAACACTTTTATGAGCGCCTTAATGAGGGAGATGAGCTGTCATCAGGCACTCGTCCGTCCTTCCTGGCCACAGGAAATGAGCTCTTTGTGCTCAAAGGATTTCCAAAGCTGAGGAGCAAAGAGTTTTCAGGAAGTGGGGCAGGGATGAAAAGCTGTTGACTCAGAGAATCCCAGGGCTAAACAGCCCCCATCCTGCCATTCACCTTATAGGGTCAAATTACTCATGGTCTTATTGCAGCAATAGCACCAAAGGGTGGCTTGTGTGGGGGGTGTTAATTCTCTCGCCCCTCTTCCCCCGGCATATACACTTGGGCAGCCGACCCACCACCACCCCAAAAGATAATGCTGTATAGAACAATGGTTAAGAGCATAGTCCCTTGGAGCTAAAGAAGCAAGTGTGAGCCCTGCCTCCCCTACCTTGGAAAAGTTGCTTAACCTCTTTGTGTCTCAATTTCCACATCTGTAATATGGGAATAATACAGTACCCACCTTTGAGTCTCCTGTGAGGATAAATGAGTTACTGACGTAAAGTACTTGGAATGCCCTATATTTGCTAATGAAATGTATTGCTAATGTATTTGCTAACGAAACAAAATAAACATGTAAGTCCAGTACAAACAATGTACTTTTGAGGCAACCACAGCCTTAAGCAAAGTGCCCTAGGCCCTCTCTCTGTCCCTCAACTATATGCTGTAGGCTGCCCTCCCCATTCTGACTTGTAAATAAAGATTGCCCAGGAATAAGAATGTGTGCTTAAGGACTCTAGTTTGAGCCTTGACTCTGCCACTTGTCCTCGTTCTGTGAGCTTGGCCAAGTTTTTACATTCCTAAGCCACAGTTATGTTATTTGTAAACTGAGACTAACTTCCTCCCAGAGTTGCTCTGAGCGTTTGATCAGATAGTGTCTGGCAAGAAGTGATGGGGTCCTGCTTGATCATAATCACCTTGCTCGTTTACTGAACTGTTTCTGGTGAACTGTTTCTTTGCTCTCCTACAATGAAAATAACATTTATTGAGCACTTACTCTGGCCTTGTGTTATATACATCATCTTATTTAATACTTAAAATAAGACAAAGGCCCAGAGAGATGAAGTAACTTGTCCAAGGTCACAGTGGAAAGCAGTGGCGGGACCAGGATTCAAGCTGGACCGATCTTCGAGTCCATGCCAGTCACCCACCATACCGCAAGCCCACCCCTGTTCTAGCATGGCTCATACAATTCACGGCATGTGTGTTCTATTTCTTTAGGATTCCTCCCCCATCCACAGGCACATGCTCTCCCCCAGTGCCCAGCAACACCCAGCACCATAAGTGTTCCACATACTCTTACTGAAGGACTGAAAGTGAATGGCGGTGACATTTAATAGCGATGATAGTCCCCTTTTTGGGGCTGTCCCCAGTGGGGAAGGAAAGCAGCTGGGAACCCTCCTCTCCACCCCCAGCATCCTCTTCCTGCTAACTAACAGTATGGAAGGCCTTCTTCCTTCCCCCACGGGGGTGTCAGGCTTCTTGGTTTCAGAGATCCACAATAGGCACAATGATGACTCATCTGCAGTGAACATTTGGAGAGCTGTCAGGGCCGCTGGTGCTTTTTAGGGCTCTGTTAACATGCATCAGTGGCGTGATTTCCAAATAACGGCCTTGGAGACCTATATTAGTTTCCTAGGGCTGCCATAAACCACAAACTAGGTGGCTTAAGACAACACAGATGGATTCTCTCATAATTCAGGAGCCAGAAGTCCAAAATCAAGGTCTCAGCGGGGTCAGTTTCTTTCTGGGGGCTCGAAGGGAGAATCTATTCAATGCCTTTCTCCTGGCTTCTGGTGGCTGCTGGCAATCCTTGGCATGCCTTAACTTGTAATGCATTACTCCAATCTCTGCCTCCACTCTCACATGACACTCTCCCTGTGTGTCTATGTCCCAGTTTCCCTCTTCTTGTAAGGACACCAGTTCTCTTGGAGAAGGGCCCACCCTCATTCAGTATAACCTCATCTTACTTTGATTACCTCTACAGACCCCAGTTGCAAATAAGGTCACATTCACCAGTACGAGGGGGTTAGGACTTGAACATATCTTTTCTGAGGGACACAATTCAACCCACAAGAATATGTGCAGAGGAGATGAAAAATGAAGGAAGGGGATGAAGAGAAAGGGGAGGTTGTCCATAAGGGGCAGATCATATTTGAATAATAGAGGGTGACTATGGGTCCCATAGGAATGAGACTAAAGTTTTTCTTTTTGGCCAATCTCGTTCTTTCCCAAAGATGTCTCCAGCTCATAGACTCACCATACCAGAGCTAGAAGAGACTTTAGAGATTCATTCATTCATTCAACAGACATTTATCAAATACTCTTTGGGCAGCTGGGCATTCAGAGAGGACAGAAATGGTCAGAGGGAACTGAGGTGCAGAGAGGGAAGATGAGTTGTCGAGGATTCCACATCAAACTAGAGGACAGCCAAGAACAGAATGGGGTAGCCCAAGCCCCAATCCTGAGCCTCTCTGATGCCTACCAAGAAGGCTACCCACCCCCTGGGTCTAAACGTCTGATGCACAGACAGATCTAGGTTTCTAAAAGGTGTTTGTGTCTGAGGCTCATTACTGGCTTCCCTAAACTTCCATAGGCATATCCTGTCATTGAGAGACTTCGGAACCTTGGACAAAGCTAGAGCCATCCCTTATCTGAAAGTGCAATCTTGCAGCCTTTTTCTCTTTTGGACCAATTGTTGGTTAATCTCTGACGCATCACCTTCTCTGGATGCCACAGCAGAATCAGGCATACAGAAACTCCACCTTTTTTGTCCCCAGTGCTGACAGGGAAACTGTCATGGAATTGGCTCTCAGTAGCCATTTACTCAATGAGTGAAAGAACATTGTTTCAGTTGGGATGAAGGCCTGTTTATTTCTGTTTCAACATTCCACGTTCAGTGATGGTCACAGAGTTGGTTTGAGATTACCCGAATTCCACCCTGAAAGTCACAGTTCTTTTAACATGAATATTCCATTTGTCATTACATCATTAGAAGAGGTGGCATCCTGCTCCCATTATTGGTGGCCGATGCAAATACTGTCTTGCCTCAGGCTGTCATCCTGTGAGACTTCAGCCTGGAGCAGTGAGACTGAAAACCCAGGCGGGCTGGGGTCAGAGATGGGGTCAACCCAGCAGGAGTTGTCAGATCAGAGCAGGGGTGAGAAGGAGGTCAGATGGGAGATCAAAGTCCAGGAACTAGGCAGGTACACAGAGTTCCAAGGATGGTGGCCAGTGGCTGGAGCCCCTTCAGAAAATGTCTCATGGGCAGGTCTCCTGAGTTGGCCTTCTGCTCACAGGTTCTTTGTGATTGACCTGGGTTTGGGTTCCCCCCTCACAAAGAGGACACAATCCGTCAACATTATTCAGCAGGCTTCATGTTCACATGATCAGACAAACTTGAAAATCCTGGAAGCAGACTTGTTTGTTCTAGTCACGCAGCCCCAGGCTTGCTGCTACTTTTTAGATCCGCAGTCTGACTCTGGCTGTGCATCAGAACCACCTATTTGAAACTTGTTCAAATGCAGATTCCCATGTCCCCCCCCTCAGAGGATCTGATTCTTTAGGTCTGGGGTGGGCTGCTGACATCTTGAGAGGCTGTATGATGCGGAGGTTGCACTCGGAGGCTCCGGAGCCAGGCTGCTTAGATCTGCAATGGTTCTGCCACTAACCGGGGACCCTGTTGGTACTTCACCTTTCTGTGCCTCAGTAGCTTATCTATAAAAGGTAATAATAATATTCAGCTTATTGATTTGATGGCAGATTATTTAATATATGCCAAATCTCAAAATACAATAAATGTTATTTACTATTGTAATCTTTATTTTTACCCAAGTACAAGTGATTTAGAAACACAGTCCTTCTTCCCTCCCTCCCTTCCTCTCCCTTCCTTTCTTCCTCACTCCCTTCCTTCCTTCCTTCCTTCCTTCCTCCCTTCCTTCCTCCCTTCCTTCCTCCCTTCCTTCCTTCATTAATTACTGAGTGCGCCTACCTGCCAGGACCCATGCTAGACATCCAGAGTCCTCCCCAGTTTACAGTCTAACAGGGAAGCCAGGATTGGGAAACACTGCTCTACTCACTGCCTTCCAAACTCTCATTGGAGTCTGAAGCTCTGGGCTTCCCGTCTGGTGTCCCTCCAGCCTAATTACCTTCATTTGCTCCTTGAAACGGAACATAATGGAAAGAACAAAGGAATCATTTGGATTTCGTTCGCCATTTTCTAGTTAAGTGACATCAGACAAATCACATGTAGAAGGTACCTTTGTCTACTGCTTCCTGTGTATCCATGTTCTAGGAATGGCTCTGCCTCTCCCCTAACCACAGAGCCAGGAAGAGAACAGCTAAACACACCTGTGATTCTGCCCCTCGCTCCAGGCCACAGATTATTGGTGGGGGCAGGCAACTGACCCAAGTTGAGCCAATCACATCCCACCTTCAAGACCCTGGAGTGCAGCTAAAGCCTTGCTGCCTGCCTCTGGCTGCTTTCTTGAATGGAGGTGATGTTAGGAGCTGTTGGCAATGGACATCTTCTATCATACGTATTAGGAAAAAGAGCGAATCAGTCTGCAGCAAGAAAGAAAAGCAAAGCTCATGGTTGAATTTTTCAGGATGCTGAGGGTCCTAATTGCCTCCTTATGCTGTCCCTAACCTTAGATTCTGTGACACATCTTCTATCCTGATAATAAATTTCTCTTTGTGTTGAAGTCAGATGTAAGGCTTCTCTTGTTTTCCCCGCTGCCTGGAAGACAGGCTGTACCTCCAGCAACGTGTCTTCCATGTTCAAGAGATCAGTTTTTCAAGGGCAGCTCAAGGGAGAAGCAAATTCAGGTCTGGAGTCTTGGGGCCAAATTGCTTCTGTTCCTACTTTGAGCTTTTGGGTCAAAGAACTTGAGGAGCACAGAGGTCAGGGTCTTGAACACTAGAGGGGACCTGGCCAGGCCTTTCATGGGAGGGACCCCTATTTCTAACTCTCCTTAATTAAGGAAGAATCTTCCAGAGAGCCACAGTCTCTCCTGCCACGTGGTCCTGCTCTGTTCTTTTATATTCACAATTCCTCAGACATGGACACCCCTTTCCAAATTGAGCTGCATTTCTGCCACACACTTGGAGCTGGTTATTAGGATATGTCTCTGTGTCTTGGGGATAGGGGTTTGGATGGGAACAGGAAGGTGGAGTACAGCCATTCCTGTTCTAGTATGTTCTGAACTTCTGGTGTTTTTTTTTTTGTTTTGTTTTTGTTTTTTTTACCTCAGGCCTGCCTCTCCTAGCATGTCACAGGGATGATTGATGTTCCTTTCCCTAGCACCCCTTTTGATCAACTAGGTATTAATTCCTCCATTTTATAGACAGGGATGACATTTAGCTGGTTTACACCAGTACAGCCTCAAATGCTTGTTAACTTAGTAAAAAAAAAAAAAAAAATTTTTATTGATTGTCGCTCCAGTTCTCCTAAGTGCCACTCCAGTTGCTTTTCACCCTGGTTTCTTCCCTGGGATCCCCTAGACCTCTATACCATCCAGCAACTAAAAGGTTAATACCAAGCACATCAGGAACTTCCAGCATACTCACCACTCTAGAACTTTGGCTTAAACACTTGGGCATGTTTTCTGATGTGTTCCTGCCTCTGCCTCACTAGTTAGACTTTTATTTTATTTTATTTTATTTTATTTTATTTTATTTTGTTTTATTTTATATTATTTTACTTTTTTTATTTTATTTTATTTTATTTTATTTTATTTTATTTTATTTTATTTTATTTTATTTTATTTTATCTTATCTTATCTTATCTTATTTTATTTTATTTTACTAGTTAGATATTTTATTTTTTAAAAAATTTTTTTCAACGTTTTTTTTTATTTATTTTTGGGACAGAGAGAGACAGAGCATGAACGGGGGAGGGGCAGAGAGAGAGGGAGACACAGAATCGGAAACAGGCTCCAGGCTCCGAGCCACCAGCCCAGAGCCCGACGCGGGGCTCGAACTCACAGACCGCGAGATCGTGACCTGGCTGAAGTCGGACGCTTAACCGACTGCGCCACCCAGGCGCCCCGAGTTAGATATTTTAAATACCTTCCTGTTTACAGGTGAAGTTTAAGGAAGTTAACTAATTTAATTTGTTTACTCATTCATTCATTCATTACATTTTTAAAGTTTATTTATTTATTTTCGAGAGAGGGCATGAGCCGTCCTGTCTATACCACAAATTACTGACCTTGTGATATAGGGCACAGCTGTCCCTCAGCCAGAGGCCCTCTGCTACCTCAGCAAGTACATCTTTCACCAAACTGGGCCATCTAGTCACAAGAGGTACAAAAAGGAATATCAGAGATACGGAGATGGATGGTGGTAATGCTGCCCAACACTACAAATGTATTTGATGTAACTGCATGGTACAATTAAAAATGGCTAAGATAGTAAATTTTATGTTAAGCGTATTTTACCACAATAAAGAGGAATATTCGACAAACTGGATAAGGATGGTCTCCTACAACCTAAACTCTGTGGTAGGGTCAGAGAAAGAACTTTTGCTCCTCAGCCACGCACAGTGTCTGCCCCTGGGGTCATTTCTACCCACAGCCCCTCTGAAGGCAGCTTTGGGTATGATCCCCATCCAGCCCCTCCACCCATGGACATAGCTGAGGAGCCCAGGCATAGGCATCTGGCCCAGGACAGGCAATCTAGAGCTAGGAAGAGGCAAGAAAGATAGGCTGTACTCCCAAATTTGAACCAAGGAGGACTTCTTGTAGAGCAGAAGGTGAGGAAGCTGCTTGGGAGTGGGAGAAGCCAGCAGAGACACCAAGAAAAAGTGGCCCAGGGGCACCTGGGTGGCTCAGTCGGTTGAGCATCCGACTTGGGCTCAGCTCATGATCTCACAGTTTGTGAGTTTGAGCCCTGCATCAGGTTCTCTGCTGTCAGCACAGAGTCTGCTTCAGATACTCTGTTTCCCTCTCTCTCTCTGCTCCTCCCCTGCTCTCTCTCTCTCTCTCAAAAATAAATAAAACATTAAGAAAGAAAGAAAGAAAGAAAGAAAGAAAGAAAGAAAGAAAGAAAG